GGCTATAAATTGGCTAATGAAGGATGATCCTAGTTTGTGGAAGTTTCTAAATGAGAAGAAGAAAGTTAGACAGCTCACTCAAAACATGGAAGTCAAGTTTCAATGGACTAAGAGGTGTGCCAATTCCTTGGCAGATTCATTGGCCAAACAAGGGGTGGGAAGAGTCAATTTTTTCTGAGCATTATTGTAATCTGAACTGTACTCTTGGGAGGGTTAAGAGTTTTTACCCCTCCTTTTGTATCTTTCTCTATTAATATCTATTAATAAAAGTCTTTGTTATCTATCAAAAAAACACTGAGAACACTGAGAGGCAAAATCTCTTCAATGCCAAATAAAAGAATATTTCCAAAGGAAATGCAAGATGATGGAAGGGAGAAGTTTTATGCAAAAATTCCAAGAAGAATTTTATATTTTTATTGTTTTATTGTTTTATTGTTTTATGGTTTTTGAATATTTTGGGTGTGCCAACTGACCTGCAAAAAGACACTTTACTATTTGAAACTGATTTAAACAATCCCTATTTCTTCCTTTAATAATTCAAAATTTCAAACCATAGATGATTTACTATCCTCTCCCCCATTGATAAAAGGTATTCTGTTCATGCATTTTTTGCATACTAGTAAAAGGGCATGTGTTGCACATGATTTTCTAACATGCAAACAAGCAGTAAATATTCAATTTTTAAAGTGAAGCAACTACCATGTACTATGTATCAAAAAGGAGGACCATACATCCTTCTTAATTGTCACTGGGACTCAACAGTTGGGACTATGTGAACCTATAATTTAACATTCTTTGAGATGCAATCTGAAAATGGAACTGTATAGCCTGCACATTCTAGAGAAAACATTTCATGGGAAAACAAATCGAACATTTCAAAAAAAAAAAGAGCAATGTTTCATGATAGTAAAGTGTATAATAGAAGTGGGTGCACTGTGCACCCAAATTGTTTATTTTTCTTTGCACAGTGATGACTGCACCCAAATTGTTTATTTTTCTTTGCACAGTGATGACTCACAGGAAGCAAAACTTTTGCTATCTTTTTTCAATCTCACCAAATCCATGGTGTCAATGTGTCATCAGACTCAAGACCAGACGTGAAAAAAAAGAATGATCAGTGGGTCATGGTTTTACCAGTTAACCAGGTGGGTTAGCTCATCAAGTAACCAGAACCCAGAAAGATCACTAGGTGACTAGGTCAACCATCAGATCTGGTCCAAGTCTGACACCAATGCACCACATAGAAGGATTACTACAGCTAGGAATTTTTCATATTTCAAACAACATTAGAGGCAGAATCTGAAGACAATTAACAGGAAACTGCAAGTTGGGTAACAATTGGAAAATGTTAGTTGTTAAGGTTGCAGTGGAAAGGGGTTCATTTGTCAAGTATGACTGATTCCTGAATAAAGGATAGTACCTTTTTCCATAACAAAGGGTCCTTCCGCTCCCTTGGTAACAGTAGATGATCTCGCAGCTGAGAAGCAACCACCCAAGGTTCACCTTCTCCATTCACATTCTTTGCCATTATTGCATTCTCTTCAAGTATGTCACAAACCTAATTGATAAAAAGAAGTATGTCACAAACCTATAAATTAGCAGTTTTTCACTTTCCTTTTTCTTATTTGGATTAGTTCAAAAGTAGGACAAGAATTTTCTCTGTTCGACATGGATAATAATATGCTTTTATTAATTCATAGACTCACGGCATTGGTTGTAAATGTACATTGTGGTCCCTACTCACTAGTTTCAAAAATATTGCCAACCAGAATTTAGAACTTGCTCAAGATGATTAAAAAGAGACATACTAAGGAAGCTGCTAAGCATTTATGGATTTTTTTATCAATACATTTATGAAATGTCTGGAAATGCTAGAATGAGGGCACACAAGCATTTCTTCCAGGAAATAGATAGATCATGCAGGATAAATAAAATATTGAGAAGTTATGAGAAAATGAAAACGCATAAACAGAAATTAGAAAGACATCTGTTACACCGCACTATAGAAGAAAGGGCATACAGACATCTTTTTTGGTAAATTATTAAAAAGGATTAAAGCAATTGTATTAAAAGTAAAGAAGATATGATGTACAAGACAGACATCAACATCAAATGTACGAATCCATCCCAAAGCTGTAAATTTTTATAGCTAAATATAAGCTTCAGTGGTAACAATTTGCTAGAGAAAAAAATAACAATAATACATAAGTTATATGGTTTTTATTTTTAACTTGTACATTTATCAAATAAATCAATTAAAAACTATTAACTACTATTTTCACTTATATCTTGGCAACAGCTTGTGCCAGAGACCAGGAGACCCATGGTGCCCCATAACTTATTGCATGCCCCTTATTTACAGGACTGAAGCCCAACATTCTAAGGGCCTCATTTTAGAGACTTAGGGAGCCAAAAAATAGATGGACACTAATATTCCAACTGTGTGGTTTTACTGCAAACATTTGGATGGTGGAGAAACTCTCTTAAGTTCTGGAATTAATTTGTAAGTCAGATAGTTAAATGACAACTGATCGGTATTGATAAAAAAAAAACAACTGATCATTTAGGACCTATCTTAGGTCAGAACAATATGGTGGATCCACCGAACAAAATATATGTTGCTTGTTATGAGGTTCCCAGACTGAGTCCTTTACCCCAGACTGAAAAGTCTCTTCTGCTCATTATTTTTTCTAAAAAATCCAGTTTATAAGGGGTATTTAAGATTTAACTTCGAATCCCCAATGGGAACTCGTCTCCATTGGGGATTGGGGACGGTGTCATTTTTATCCTCGACAGGGGTCAAGGTTGGGGACAGGGATTTGTTTCAAAGTCGGGATCGGTGATGGGGAGAATGGTCCATGCCCCAAACCCGCCTCACTGACATCAAATAATGAAAACATAATTATTTATAAAATTTTATATTATATGATGTGTATTACATGAAAAAGAATTGTTGCATGGGCACACGTTGGCTGGGCTTGGTTTGGCTTTGGGTCTATGACACAAAAAATAGGATATGGTTTTCAACACATGGTTGTCTATTCCTTCATTTATATAACAATAAACAACTCTAGGGAACAAGTTATTGTCTCATACTTGAGTTGACTCATGTGTCAACTTGCGGATATATATAATATATTAATTTTTTATATAAAATATTTAATATATAATATATATCGTGGACTGAGTTGGGTTGGGTATTTGGGTCAAGCTGAGAATGATCACCCCTAATTCAACCTCTCCCAAGACCCCATATAGCTTGGACCAACATTGCACAATGACCCTTTGATGTAGGACAAGGTGGGAGGGTCCTAAAGTTCCAAATCTCATGGTGAACTTTATGAGTTGAATGAATGGCTTTGGGTGATTAAGGATGAAGAATAGAGATGGAGAAGCAAGTACATTGCTTGGTATACGCCAAAGAATGAGTAAGAGATTTAGAAAGAAAGAGAGGAACTCTTGCTATTAGAGTAAATATCAAAGAGAAGGACCATTTGGAAGAAGAAATATGGAAAAAAAAAAAAAGAGAAACACTCCTGAAAACGACCAGAATTCTATAAACTAGATTCTACTTCATCAAATTAATCCTCCTAGCAATTACTGTGACTTAACATAAGAACTTGGATGTCCCTCTTTAGACTCCGATTTGAACTCGAAACAACTTTGTCTAGGTGCTTTGGAACTAACACAAACTGATAGGTAACTCATAGAGACACTGAAAAAGGATTATAATTCCCGAAACAACTCCAATCCTACTAAAACTAGTAAAGAAACCCAAAAAAACTACTAAAAATGATAAACTGCGATTTTACTATAAAGAGTAGTTGCAGAAATTACCATAAATAGCAAGTCAAGATTACCATAGCTAGTAATTTTGTATTTACTAATAATAGTAAATCTTTAGAAGACTTAATATGGACAGTGTGGGAGGAAAGGAATTCGAGAATTCTTAAAGACAAGGCACGGAGCAAGGTAGACTTAATAGAAAACATTGTAGTTAGGGCCGCTTATTGTGTAAAGACATTGAAAAGTTTGAAGAGTTCACAACATATGATATTCTAAGGAGGTAGTCTTGGATAGCTTCATCATCAACAGCATGGCAAAGACCAATTCCTTATCACCCAAATTTCTGAAATTGGTGAAGGAATTGAAAAACTGATTTATTTTTCCATGGATTCTTTCCTCTTCCTTATCTGCACCACCCTTGTTCAAGAAACAAAAGTGCAGCACTCAATGAAGTTCCTTGTGATCCAGGGTGGGGACTGGGTACAGTTCTAGCCTCCGGATTATTGTTTCTTTYTTTTTTTTTTTTTTGCGGGAAGGATTTTCCCTTAGAATCAAATTGTGTTCCTATGCTTGGCAGCCCAAGATTTTCCTGTTGCACCAAGCAATGGCCCTAAATTAAAAATGTTATTCAGGAAATATCTAACTAAAAGCATTTTCTCTTTCAGCACACTGGCAAAAGCATAGATTGAATGCATGTATAAAATATAGTTAACTAAAGGGTTTTAGATGGAGAGTTGAGGAGAAGGGAGGAAGAAGAAACATTTTCTATCTACTTTATCAAATTTTCAACAAAACAAATCTAAATATAACCTTATATATCTAGTGCGAAAGCATCATAAATCTGTGGATCTCCCTAGTCCTGGGAAGAATTTGTATCAAGAACACAGGCAACAATCTGTAACTCCAACTCCAACTAGTCAGCAGTGGGCTGGTATGTACCTTTCATACATTCCAGAGATGGAATGTGCTTATGGTTCTATTATCTGATTACTTGTATTTTAACTATAATCCAATCAATTTATTGTAAAATCTCCAGTAGATACAACTTGCATATCCAAAAGTGACTGTGAGAAACTGTTTATATTTCAGTAAAAATAAATATTATTTTTTTGAGAGACTTGTAAAAATAAATATTATTTCTTTCACCAGTTCAAATAAAGTTTCAAACATGCTACTTATTTGGGAATGGCACTCAACATATTGAATTACGGTTAAAGCTATCTACAAAAAACTTCTTGTTTAAGGTTGGTAAGGAGTTGACAAGGCATTTTTCACACTAAGCCAGTAAGTCACATATTTAGATTTAGACTCTCCTGTCAATAACATTTCAGATAAAGACCCCAACCTTTATTTTAAATGTTAAAGAATTACAATAAAATCTTTCCAACAAAAAAAGACAGGTCAAGACCCCTAAGTTAGGATGTGAGCCATAACATATTTTCTAGTTGTGATTTCAACTAAATCTTATAACCAAGAAAAACATTGCATACTTAATCAGGTTTTCCCTCTAACAAGGATGCACTCCTGTGGCATTTCACAAAATTAGTTTGTGGATATATTATAAGGAAAAACTTCAAAACAAACTATCTATACCTGTTGGTAAAGCTGTTCTGCTCTGCTCGATAAATATCTACTCCTACGCACTCGCCTAAGTAACAACACCAATAAGGTTATGAAACCTACAAGCTGTAAAGCTTAATAATGTTAAGATGTTTATATGTAGACACACAATCACACAACAGAGGAAATTTCAGAAGCTTTATTGAAGTAGCATACCAATGTAGAAATGGGCAGTAAATACAAAGTGTTCTCCAAGATCCATTGCCGGATGTAACAGAGGAATGGTTTATAGCGCTCTGCCAGCCAGTCTGGACATTTTAGTTCTTTAACCCTATAGGCAGCAGAAAAAAAAGAGGAATGAAGTGACACAACCAGTAGAAGGATCAATAGTCTTTTAGTATTTTAAAGCAACAAAGATAAGAAAAGTATACCCATTGGAATCTCTCCTTGTTTCCAACAAGCTTTCAACAGCTTCTAGTGCCTTCTGTTTAGTATACACAAAAGAATCATTACTCAAGCCAAAATTTCTATTCAAACGATACCCATCAAGTTCTTTCCATAACCCCATCTCCTGAACCTGAAAGAATAAATTGTAGTTGAACTACAGATATCAATATTCACTAATATATATATATATATATGTATATATATATATATATATATATATACATACATACATACATATATGGATGAAATTCAAATGCTAGTTTCGAAAACAGACCCAAATTGTCCCTGTTCCATCACACAAAAACTGCACATATGCTTCACAAACACGTAGTTGTACCCATTCCGACTGCATTTGATAATATTGCAATTAATAGCTAGAAAAATGAAATAGAAAGATAAGTTCATTAAGTATTTTCTATTGTCACAAAGTAAAGCACTATGTCAGGAAAAAAAAATATGATTGCAAAAGGACGCACTAGTTTCTTGGCTGTTTGATTAATTTCTCCATCCTCTACACATAACCTTCCATGTTTTTTGTATCCATGAAAACATTCAAGCTTGCCTTCAAAACATTCTCCATTATTTGGACAAGGTTCACAGTCATCTGAAACAGGTTTCATTGGTTATGAAGGAAGACCATACAAGTTATATCATCACATCATAACCAAAAAAAAAAAAGAACTTACAAAGATCATGATAACTACAATTTGCTCAAATTTTAACTAGAATATCATCTTAAATGATAAAGAGAAAAACAGCCAAGAGGCCCATATGACAACAAGCAATACAATGAAGTTCAAATTGAGAAATCAACGAGTATATAACAAGTCTGACTATGATATCGAAAAGGTATCAAACCTAAAAAACTGATAACCAATCAACCAGTATCATTCAATTTGTAACCAATCAACTGATATTCATTGAAGTTCACATGGATTTGTGATTGGTTAAAGGTTTCCAGGTATCATACCATTTCAGTATAATAGAATTTGTCATATTTAACTGATAAAACATTGTTAATCAGAAGTAATGTACAGTTTGTAATTACATTTTGTATATTTCAGTTTTATATATGAAATAAGAGCCTGGATATTGTTGTAGACTTGTATACAATGACCACGAAAAAATATTGCTCTCCACAAAAAGGAGCTGCACACTTCTACTTTGGATTATAGGGAAATCACTGAAATCCCCTCAGTACGCAGTGTAAACATCTATGCAAATGTCATATATTGATTCCGTTGAAACAAGCAAAGAGTGTTTGTCGATCACATAAATAAGAAATCTACTTTCCCTTTTAAGATTAACTTCTCAACTAGCAAAGGAATATGAAGAATGCAAAACTGGGAAAAAATATCCATACGAGTTAGAATTTAAAAGAAAAAGAATGGTTCTTTACGGTCAGTTTGAAAAGAGTACAAATACATATAAAATAATACAAAATACAAGGTTTTGCACTCTACATATTTGTATTTGTACTCCTTCCAAACTGAGCATTATCAGATTTCAATTACTAGTCGCAGACTTACAAATAGAAAACACTGCCCACAAAAACCCATAGTACCAATACCAATTGATCCACAGTACTAACTATCAACTTTTAGTGTGCCAAGGCTGCAGCATATCAACCACGAAATCACGCTTCTAAGTTTCTAACCGAGCAGAAAAAAATTACCCTTGTAACTCTGAGTAGCTATGAACAACTGAATAACAACTATAAACATACCAAGTTAGAGCAACCGATCAATCAAAATCATTCATTTGTTTAAATAAATTATTCGAACATTATCTTCGGGAAGTTAAAATTATAAAAGAAAAGCCCCAAATGGGGAAGCCGTGTAATTTCTATATAAGGAAACAAAAACAAGGAACTCACCAGAAACTGAGTCTTCAGAAGCTCCACCGCTATCGCAAAAGGGTTTCGATTGACGATTGAGGACACTGACTGCGTAGTTACAACCAATGGCAACTGAGAGAGCAATAGAGACGACGGCGAGGAGCCTTAAAAACTCCTCTTTGGAAGGAAAAAGGTCTGGCGATGGTTCCGTCAAAAACCACGCCAATGAAGAAGACTCATGATTGGGGGTTTTGTGTAGTGATTTCCGTCGTTTTGGGGTGGAAGCCATTATTTCCGAACGAACTCTAATGCTCTTCGAACTCTGACGCCATGCGATTGAGAGTCTGAGACGCCCCTGGAGGCTTCAAAGGCCTTAAACCTTTTTCTTTTTTCTTTCTTGTTTTCCAGTACGTGACATTCGCAGAGAGATTGTTTGGCAACGATTGGCCGTTGCGTCTAAATAATTTCTCTCCCCTTATAAACCGACTGGCGATTCCGGATCTGCTGCATTGTTTATTTTCCTGCGTTTGCTTGTGGAGTTGTTGTGAGTCTTGTGACAGGTTTTCAGTTTCAGACAATCCGGATCTGCTCGTTAACGCTGGAATCTGGGTCGGTTGTCGGATCCAATGGAAATATGACATCTKTCATTCAAAATTTGTAACACTACAAATACATGAAAAAATAGGTTGATGGATTTTCCTTTTAACCAAGCGCTCTAGTGTTAGATGGATTTCTACAACGTGAATTGTTTTTATTGTTGTACTTTCAAAAATAAAACAAAGCTATTTTGTTTGAAAATTGAATACATTTAAAATGTTGGGCTGCATATGTGTGTTTTTGTTTTCAAAACTGAAACTAAAAATGTGTTGTTGAATATGGATTCAAAAAACATGTTTTCACCTGATTATTCAACATCATGTTTCATAAATCATATAATTTCAAAAACCTGTATTGTTTTTTTGAGCAAAATCATTTTGTTTTCCTATTTGGTAGAGATGCTTTGTGTATAACAAACATACTATGCAATGCTATGGGCAATCCGGTTAGAGTTTTAGCTAACATGGCGGAGGTTGCAAGTAGCAATTAGGACAATACACCAAGGTTGGTGAAGAATTTCTAGTCAAACCAAGTTGTCGTACAAAATGTAAAGCATGGAACAAACCAAAAGCTTTAGCTTTCGAAGGCAAATTAATTGTTCGACCATATATGAATTCCCCATGGGGATTATGGTCGATCAGAAGTCCAATCCTATTTTGTCGGATTCAAATGTCTTCATTTGGATTTTCATGTTTGACTGGCTCCGGTTAGGGTCACCCCTATTCGATTATACTTTTGTAGATTTTTTATATTATTTTTTTTATAAAAAAATGTATATATTTGATGAAATAGTTGGAAAAATACCTTCATTTTTTGTTTTTTCTTCATCTAAATTGTTATATTTACTTTTAATAAATTATTGATAAAAAATAAATCAGATCGGATCATATTCAGACATCCAACATCTTTATCGAATTCGAATCCAAATCAATAGTTGTGAAATCTGACCGGATCTTCGGATCGGATTGCATCAAGCCTGAATTGGACTCAAAAATACCTGATTCGAATCCGATCCGATACGCTTGCATCCCTATCCCTTTATGATTTTGTATGATAATTCCAACAGTAGCCTATGAGGGGATGAAGCACCATCAAAATTAATCTTTAGAAACTCCATGGGGGTATCCAACCAAATGGTTCACATTCATTTGTATGTTCAGATGCCAAAGAAGGGGCTGGATAGGGGGGGTAAGGGTTCAAAGATATGAGGTGTTCAAATTTGGATCAGAAACTGAAAACCAAACCGAATAAGTTAATTTGGATATTGGTTTGGTTTTTTCTATGTTAAAAAATCGGTTTTCTGTTTTGGTTCAGTTTGTTTACAAAAATTAAAAGAACTGAAAATCGAATTACTATACTATATATAATTGTATATTATATAATAGTTTAATACAACCGAACTATATAGCCAATGATCCACCTTTAGGCTTTGGGCCCAATTGAAATTAGTATAAGTAATAAATAAAAGCAATACTTTAAATTAATCAGAGAAGTACGGACAGGTCCAATGCAGATTTCTGAATTCCACGCAGAGCTATAAACATTCAAAATGTCAAAACCCCCCATTCTATACACCAACGCTCGCCCATGAATTGGCATCAATTTCGAGCTGGTGGTTGGCATCAATTCCAAGCTGGCACCCACCCCAACTGTACTTTGGGCCTAGAAATTCTGACCCTGTGTTGAACCATCATTCTCCCTAAATTAATTAGTAATTACTATAACTACTAGTGGGAGTGGGATACTACATAGTACATATTAGGATTTGCCGATTTGGGAAAATCAAAAGATAGCTAGATTGGAGTTGCTGTATTGGGTTGGATTCAAACTATCAAAGAGTGGAAAGTGGAAAATTTCCACTGGAAACTCAAGAGGTAAGCAAAACACTGCCATAACTTAGAATTGACACAACTCAAGCCTGAACTCTTAGGCAGTGTTTGGCATTGATGTCGATGCTCTAGAAAACGGTAATATATTTGGAACAATTTTTCCATAAAAAATGCTGCTCCAAACCACGCATTAGAAATTGAGAAGGCGTGGTATGGGGAAACAACGAATTTGATGTTTTCTCAATTTGGATATCGTTGCTGCCAATGAAAACATATAGTAGTTGTGACGTGGACTACCTAATGGGTACGAGTGCTGAGAACAGATATGGAGYACTGGTACCAAACAGAAGGTATTGTTGTTGCCCCAGAAAATGTCCTACCTATCAATCACGTTTCCAAATAGAAAAAAAAAACACCGTCAGAAACGGTGCTTCCAATGCACATATACATCACCGTTTTCTTAAGGAACATCAATTTGAGAGAACAGAGAACGTGAGTACGTGAGTGGACTGGAGAGTGGAGCTGTGGAGACTTTAGAGTTTAGAGGAAAAATAAGTCACAGTCTCACATAATAAGGCATAAGAGTTGAGACGGTGAGACTTGAGAGTCTAGGAGAGGTTAGTAGAGTGTAAACTGGAACATAGGACTACAGACGAGACACACTTGCACCAATTAATCAAAAAGAAGACACTGTTCATTGTCTTCTACCTTATGACTGAACTAGTCGAGGTATTTGAGATTTTGAACTAATGAAGACACCATTCATTGTCTTCTACGGGAAGAAGAGAGAACTAGGCTGGGCCAAATGACACTCTCCTCGCCAAAGAAAGGCTCGGCAAAAGGACGCCGCCCTTCGTAGTCTCAGTCACCGAGTCAAGCTCGGTCAAGGATCACCCCACACGACCCAAAAGGGAGGCCATACACACTGCAGCCCCAGACAACAGAGATGCCGAAATTAAAGAGCTCCGACAACGTCTGGAAGAGTTAGAGCGCACTTCCACCCATAAGAGTGCAATTCCCGTCGTAAACCAACTTGTGCAGGCCATCGCGCATATCACCAAGGAGCCACCCTTCATCCAGGATATAGTGGACGAGGTACCCCTTGTCGGATGGCGAGCCCTCCAATTCAACAAGTACGACGGGAACTCCGACCCTTTCGACCATGTCGCGGTGCTCAAAGCCCAGATGATGCTACATGGTGCACCAGAGGGACTGATGTGCAAAGCCCTTGTAACCACGCTGCAAGGTCCAACCTTGGCATGGTACTCCTCCCTGCTGTCGAGGTCTATAGCGTCATGGGCCCAACTGGATACCCAGGTCGTGGCACAGTTTACAACTAGTCAGAAGCATTGGAAAACCTCGAACAGCCTTATGCAGGTCCGACAGAGAAAGGCGGAGTCCCTTAGAGACTACCTGGCGAGGTTAAACAAAGAAGCACTTCAAGTCAGGGATTTAAATCAATCAGTCGCGGTGACGGCCATACAACACAGACTCCGCCCTTCCCCRTTCAACTTCTCCATCTCCAAGATCTCCAACAATCCTCCTCAAACGTTGGCCGTGCTAATGATCCATGCGCAAAAGTATATCAACGCTGAAGAGGCCCAAGCGCAACTCAGAGACGAGGATGAGAAGCACAACAGAAAAAAGGAAAGAGAACGACGAGCGGAAGTCCGAGAGGTCGGACAAAGACCACAAGAGGCAAGATTGCCGAACCGACCATAGACCTCGCACCCCTTCGCCGACCTATCAGAATTTCATGCCACTTAATATTCCGTGGTCTGAWGTTCTGATGCAAATCCGTGACTGCAACTATGTCAAGTGACTCGCGAAGATGAAGACGCAAAGTAACAAGAGGAATCGAGACAAATATTGCGAGTGCCACAAGGACCAYGACCACGATGCGGAGAATTGTTTCGACCTGTGCAACCATATCGAAGATCTAATTAGGCRTGGTTATCTCAGCGACTTCGTAGACAGAACGGAGAAGTCAGCCCAAGAGGAAAGAAGAGCGGATGAAGCTCGGTAGCCTCCGCCCCGATGCCCTCCAGTCGGCGTCATCCACGTGATATTGGGAGGAACCGCCTCCAGAGGGGAAAGCAGCTTGGGACGGAAAAGATATGCGCGGCTAGCAARATCAACGACCAAGGTCACGGGAGGAAGCACGATACATCTATTACCTTCACTGACAACAATCTCCGAGGGGTCCAGACACCATACGACGACGCCTTGGTCGTCACTGCCGAAGTGACCAACTTTATGCGACGGCGGATCCTAATCGACACAGGGAGTTCTGTCGATGTATTGTTTGAAGATGCGTTCGAAAATCTCGGCATTGCCAGAGAGCAGCTTGCACCAATTAGCACTCCCCTTATGGGATTTTCAGGAGAGTCCCTCCAACCCACTGGGAGGATAGCTTTTCCCCTCTTGATCAGAGATGAAGACGTGGCTGCGACGGCCATGGTAGACTTCATTGTGGTGTGTTGCCCCTCCTCTTACAACGTGATCCTTGGCAGGCTGACCCTCAATGCCCTGTAAGTCATAGTACCAACATACCACCTCACCATGAAATTTCCAACCAAGTATTGCATAGGGGGGGGGGCGGGGACCAGAATTGCTATCAGTTATCCTGCCGAGGACCACGTCCAATGACCAATACATTGATGGTGGAAGTAAAGGCACAGCCGACCGACCCACGGAAGACCTCGTCCAGGTCCCCCTATTTGAGGAAGACCCCGAAAAGACAGTCCAAGTTGGCTCCCTGCTTGGCGACCACCTCTAAGAGAAACTTGTTCGACTACTGAGGAATAATGCCGATGTATTTGCTTGGTCGGTAGAGGAAATGCTTGGAATCAATCCCGAAACTATCACACATCCGCTAAACGTCGACCCCCGTTACCGACTTGTGAAGCAGAAAAAGAGAAACTTCGCCTCAGAGCGGTGGCAAGTGATCGCAGAAGAAGTACAGAAGTTGCTCGACGCTGACTTCATTAGGGAAGTCAAATACCCCGATTGGTTGGCCAACGTAGTGATGGTGAAGAAGGCCAACGGAAAGTGGAGAATTCGCATCGACTTCACCAACCTAAATAAGGTATGTCCCAAAGACAAC